ACGGACAAGATGAGTGAAGGCAGAGTGGACTTTCCACTTATTTTCCCTCATGTCTGCACCTTTTTCAAGGTATTACATCTCAAAGGACCAGAAAGCCACATTCATTTCCAGGACCCATCTTGGGCTGGTAAAATGCAACAGTGACTTTTCACAAGCTTCAGCCTCCAGGTTCACTGTAGCCTGTAGTGATTATTCTGGTAAAATTTTATTGATTATCATTTTGTATAAATGATCACAACGAAGAAAATTTTATCTATGCTACCAAAACTGCTCTTCTTTAGAGTGCACGTAATTTCTATTGGTATTAATGGAAATGTCACACACACACACACACACACAGAGCAGGGTGGAATGGCCCCTGAAGTGTTCTAACAGCAATATTAATTTCTCCTGGTGGGTGACTTTGTCCTCATAACAACAATAAAGCTACAGTACTTTATAACATGCAAAAGGTCTCTTGAAGGTTGGTACAGGCTGTTATTCTAATCAATTACCTTTGTGAATTTTCATCCAAATAAGAAAAATCTGGTAACTGAGACATACCAATACAAGGTTCTAGACATTAAAGTACAAGCTGAAAACACTGCCTAGGTGTTTTTTTGGTTTGGTTTGTTTTTAAAGAGCAACTGTTTAACAAGCAAAAGACACAAAGAAAATCAATGGGAGAAGTGCTGCTTATTCATCAAGGCAAATTCATCATCTGGAAAAAACCCCCACCTTTTATCATTGTCTAAATAATCTTGTTTTTGAGAAGGGGATCTAGCTGGTCAACTAAACACTAAGGTAACTGAAGAGGAAAATAGTACATACTCCACATCTTGACGTGTAGGAGTCTCATTTCTATGCAGTGAGAATCTCTGCAGCCATAACCTTCAAAAAAAACATCCTCATGAACTCAACATCACCTGAATATTCCACATTCCAAGGTGAGTAGAACCATTCTGAGTCTGCCCAGAATTATTACCAGAATGCAGTGCTTGGGGACATTGTGCTGTGAAAAGCAGTCCTTTAAATGACATTACTACAGTTTAGAGGCATTTATTTTTCCTAAATAGTTAACAGTTTATTACAGGATCATCTATATTTCAATAGATACAGAAGTGTTTATTGTTACAATAGAAGTCTTAACTGTTCTCTTACCTCAGGGTCTGTTCAGTCTCCAAGCAAATTGTTAGTCTTCAAAGACATTTTCTGTTGTAGGTTTGTTATGAACTAACCCTTGAGAAAATTTACAGCAAATGTAAAAATTTTATTCACTCTCTTTAGGTACAAATTCTAACACAAATCCTTGAAGATAACAGACTTAGAGGTAAATGGAAAATGGAATAAAATCTATCATGGATTTAATAGAGTTGTAGGATGCAAGAGAAACCTTGAAGGGATTTCTATTAAGATAATTTATTTTCTAGATAAAGAAAATTCCATTTATCTAGTTTATATATCAAAACATTTATTTTGATACCACAGATATTTCCTCATCTATTTGGAAAAGATAAGGACAGCGGAAAGGAACTGACTAAAGAGTGAACAGTGTTACTTTCTGTTCAAAATCAGATGGGATGGGAGCTCCTCACTAGCCAATCTTGGTAGTGTTCAACCACAGCCTTGCAAAGAGGCACACGGACAACCTCAGCACATGGAACAGGCAGCACTTCATGACCTCAGCTTCGGGGAGCAACAGCGGGTGACATTCAGCAGCACAAACTTCAAGGCCACTCTCTGAGGTAGAATCGGTAAGAACATACGGTATCAGCAAGGAGGCATGAGCTGAAGAAAGCAAGCCTAGAATATTAGTGATGCACTTGCTGCCTGTGACTTGCTAGTGTGATGCAGCTATGAAAAAAAAAGGTAAAAGCAACACAGGCTGTGGAAAAGTGAAGTATTTGCAGCAGAGATGGGGAAGTGCTAAGGACACTCTAGAAAACTGGCAAAGGCAGATGTCAAATAAAGAGCATAATTCCGGCAATCCTTGTTCAAAAAAAGGTTCATCTAAATTGCAAGGGATGCAAAGAAGGTTATAAAGATAGGCAGAGGAAAAAAGGAGATGAAGGGGCCATGGTTATTTTATACCTACTGAAATGTCACCCAGGTGAAGGAAAATACATCAGGGTCATCCTAATAAGGGGATTAAAAAAAAACCACAGTTAAGAAGTAAGATATAGTTATAATCAGGACATGAATCAGTTCGGCTTGGATACTAGAATAATATCTCATCAGAGAAGTGAGTGTCTGCAACAATCTTTGTTAGAAATTGTACGGCAAAACATTGCCACTTTAAGATGAAGAAGATGTCTTCCTGAACCAGACTGCAGGAGGGAGACAGCGCCTGGCCAGAAAAAAGCCTGGACATGATGACTCACAGGTTTTAGCCCCATAGAAACTTAACAATGGGATACAAACTGAGGTTTCTAAGAGATTGCAAGTATGCTGCTTACAAAACCTGCTCTTCTAGAAGAAATAGGTAAACATAAACTAAGCCATTTAAATAGAGAACACACCAAGAATCAGGGATGCTGATCTCTTCTGCTAACAGAGCTGCTGGCAGAGACTTTAATTTTGCTGTCGCTCAGCAGAAGGGCAATGCTGGTGTCAGATGCCAGATAACAGCATTAGAAGAAGCAGCAACCCTCCAAAAAGAGACAGGCATATATTACAGCTCTGTGCAATGAGTCAGAAAAAGCTGTAAATCAACCCAAGATCCTCTGCAACAAAGCTGCTTTAGGAATATCAAATCTCTGTCATGGGCTGAGGATCTAGGAAAGCAAGTCATCCATTTGGGCTGTATTTCATAATCCCATGCTATCAAACTTATGTTACAGTTTTCCCCTTCCCCAGTGACAGTGCAAGCACCTTTCAGGTGGCTATTGCACAGCATGTAACATACTCTGTTCCTTTTGGGTAAGTGTTACATGCCTTGAGTGGGAAAGACTTAATTAGACATAAGAAGTTCTGGTTCTGTTCTCAATTATACCACAAATCCAGTGTATGACAACTGGTAACTTATTTTCCTTGTATTTATCTTCAAAAAAAGCAAAAAATAACAACATTTCTCTAAAACTCTTGTTTGTCCAGTTAGAACATCTCAGCAATGGTTTTTACTGTGCCTTTGTAGAGCTCTTACCAAAATAAATACATACATACCAGTTATGAGTCAACATTACACAAATAGTAAGTGAAAGTGATCTTCACTGATTGTATTGTTGAATACACATGCACAGAAACAGTAGAAATAGTAAAGGTAATTTTAAAATTTAATCAGAAAATTTAAACAATGGAAAAATATTAGGAATGTAGAGCTCGTTAGGGCAAGCAGAATCTGTTAACTCTTCAGCTGTCCAAGCATAGAGCCAAAAATCTCTTGTTATCACCGAGTACAATGACCACTATGATCCCAGCTGTAATCAATTACATAACTGAAAGTGAACTAAACCAGACAAATTAAAATCAAAAAACACAGGACCAGACCTTCCCACCACTGACTTCAACAGAATTACCTGGCTGAATACTCCCACTCACTCCAGCAAATCAAAAGTTAACAATTATTACTCTGACAGCTTCACACTGCTGATGCTATCTTTCCCAAAAAACTAGAAAGCTTATGCACAATGACCTAAATTAGTACAGCACACTTATTTTTTTTTTTTTGCTTTTCTGTATATATAAAAATTAGATGTACATTGTTACCCTAATATTTACATAAAACATAACAACCAGTTCAGTAGCTGGGCCAGCAGAAGTTCATCTGCATGATAGCCATCTGCATCATTGCTTTTTAGTTTGTTTCAATGCATCCTAAGTCACACGATGGTGTAACGGGGAACAGACTGGCTACAGCTTCACCTCTACTTACTGTTCTGTTTATGAAACTGATGACAAAAAACTATACCAAGCAAATATGAAAAACAGTATGAAATGCATCTACAATAATATGAAACAATTATATGTCACAAAATGTAACCACTTGGAAATTCAGTCTGTCAAGGAACTGGACATTTAATTATTATAATCATTCTAAACAAGAACTAATTGAAAGTGAAGATTCATTTTTATCTAGAATTTTGCTTATGAATTTTAAGTATGTTACCTATTAGGATATAACCAAAGCTTTGAAAATACAAACAAATCACCCTCCTTGCAGTAAGCCTTCCTTATGCAGTACAAGCATGCTGTCCTTTTTTTGAAGCACATGAACGAATATTTCTAGCTAATGGCTAAATTCTTTTCCATATCTAGATTCAAAGAGGCACAGAATATGTATACTTTGCTATTCCCCTGGAGAATGGATTAATTTTAGGACAAAAAAAAACTGTGTCTACTTTCAAATTTTATCTCTTCCTCATACTTTGCTGCCATCACTTATTAATGTAAAAGTTAAACTACCTAGAACTATCAAAGAAATAAATTTAATTGCAGAGATATAACCGAAGTATGCCGTACAATAATTGCTACTGATTTATAAGTTCCATCTTTTCACCTTCATACCACTCTGTTAGTTACTAAATCACAGCTGAAAACACACTGAGACATAATTTACTAACAATGTCCTGTCAACTCACTCAGCATTGGATCAGCTTTGTATTTTTATGTTGTATTGTATTGTGAGAAATATCTCAGACAAATCCATAGCATTATTTAGGTTGGAAAAGACCTTTAAGATCATCTGTATCAGTTTTAACATAAGCATTTTTTTTCTATGACCCCATAGGTTACATTCATGACCTAAACTCATTTAAAACAATTTTACATATCTTAGTGTCATTAAGAAAGTCTTATCCTTGATGCACTGCAGAAGTTCAGGTGTGGGCTTCCACAAATTCCTGCCAAGTGTCAGGTTCTGGGGAATCCAAGGTGCATTTCTGGCAGAAGCAAATGTCCTTGGTTTTTCTTGTGAAATGAAAATGTACCATTCTGTATAGCAAAATCCAGGTTCAGGAACTGCAGCCACTGTTGAAAGGAGAAGTATTGTCCTTTTTGCTGAATTATTTTGCAAGTTCAAAGAATTAAGTCAATAGCATCATCACAAAAAAGGGTCTCTGTGAAACAGCCAAGCAACAGTTGCCCATGCCATGGTTTTGGTGGTGACCCACAGGTTTATTCTTTGCTACCGTGTTACCTACAAAAGAAGAAGAAAGGGTTACCTACACAGAATCAATCAAACAAGGATGATAACAGTTGCTTTCTTGCTGCAAAGGAAATATACATATTAATACATCATGAACAAACTTGCCCCAGCCATACCTATATACCTTGCATAGAAACAGAATGTGTATGCAAATGTTAATTACACTGTTATTCAATAAGATAAGGTAGATTTGCAGATAAAGAAATGACCATTTACTATTAAATTTGACACCAACATCTCATGGAAATCTCCTTCTACTTTATTTTGCTTAGCATGATTTGCAGATTCAATGCCTACAGCACAAGTGTATGACTCGCATCCCAAAAGACCATCTTATGTGAGGGAACTGGGGATCAGACAGACAGAACACAGTCTGCAGAGGGGATGAGTTGTTCTTGCAGCAGAAGCCACTCCCAGGTAGCTCTTCTCCCACGGGACCCCACGGTGTCTTTTCCTTACAACCATCCACACACTCAGGTGCTTCAGGGGTGCACGTGCAAGCCTTAATGCACACACACAGTGTACAAACCCAGTGGGTTTGGCTTCCTGGTGAGGAGGGTCATGTCAGATTTCCCATCCTGGAAATGGATGAGAACAGGCAGCATGCAAGGAGGAAAGCTTTGTCAGCTCTGCTCTGTAGTGTCTAGATGTGTTACAGAACTAAATAGACACTCAGCATAGAGGAATTCTTATTTCCTTCCCTGAGGTAACTGATGTTTGAGTTCTTCAGCTTTTCACATTTTAACTGTCCCACTCGGCTACTAACTATTCATCTAAATACTGAGTAGCATCAGGAGTCTCCTGTGTTTCAATCACTTCAAGTTACTTTAATATTTTCACAAAATTAAAAGAGAGAAGACTTAAAATTTATTAAGTGGCATTTCTTCTTTCAGTGTATAATTAACCTGTGAAAGCTGTTGTCCCAACCAGCAATGATCCCAGGGTTTTAGCAAGCTTTAAAAATTGATTAGAAATTCAAATTATAATAAGATCATCTTCGCTACGTAACAAAGCGAAAAAAAGTTAATAGGGAATGGATCTCAACTCTTGTGTTTTAGACATAAGCCAACTATTAAATTGGAAGAATTTAATGTATGTGTACACTTTCTATAGTTGTCCACAAGAGTTTTGCTGTGTCTTTCTGATTTAAGTATCCCAGCATTGAGACACACAGGCTGCTGTATGGTTTGTTCTACTGTTCACAGTCAGATAAGACGGTTCATATAGTCCTCTCTGCGTAAAGTTTTAATAATGTACTCATTACATATTTTGTTGATTGGCCTCAGTTTGGACAAATATTTGGTTATTTTTTAAAATAAAAAAA